TGTTGTTATCAGAGAAGTGATGGCTGAACGAAAATTTGCACACTGAACCTTCAATACTTGGCATTATAGTGGTAAGAGATGTAATGGGAATGACCCCTTATCATAACCTATCAATTGATAAGATTGCCTGTCACCCATCATCAATTTCCTATCGCTAAGACTCTATAATTTGGTAGTGTCAAAGCCCCAACACTTTGACTGAACAACAACGGCAACTTTCCTTATCAGCCCCTATCAGCTGTTATCACCTCCTGTCACCCGCCGTCGATGTTCTCATCTCCCACTCTATACAATTTTCTGAAATCAACGCCTAGCTGATGCTGTGTCCTGTGTTATGACTATGCTGACCTTCCCTTTCTATCTCTCCTTATCAAATCTTATCACCTCCTGCAGTTCTTGTCACCGACCAATAATGTTCCTGTGCCATACCCTATATCATACCTTGGAATCAACGAACCACAGTTGCTGTGACCCGCATTATGAGCATGTTGACCATATCCTTCTGAGGCCCCTTATCGAATCTTATCAGCTGCTAAAAGTTCTAGTAACCCACAAATAATCTTACTGTCTCATTCTCTACATCATATCTCGGAACTAAAGTCCCATTGCTGCTGTGACCTGCACTATAGACTGGGTGACCGTACCCTTTGGATTCCTTATTACTAGTTGATTACCAACATGAAAACTTTCGTTTCTTCTCTTTTCCTGTTTTAACATGTCACCCGTGGTGATTGGACCTTTGGTCCATATGGCGTCCACTGACGTTTTTTCTTTTGTTGTCGTCCACTGACGACTTTCATCATTCTTTTGTTTTTTTAAGCATGCATTAAAACATTCATTATAAAACCAGTTGATTTAACAATCGACATGGTGATACTTTGTTAGATAAAACAAGGTATATCAAAATACCATGAAAGCAAGACAATGAAAACAGCTGCTACGCTTAATCTCTTAGCACTTTCACTTGTGACGTCCAAGTCATCTGCTTCCGTACGAGGCTTCTTTTTGATCGGCTCTGCTTTCTTTTCAACTTCCCTCTTCCGACCTGTTTTTCCATCCTAAAACTCAATTATCTACTCCAAGGCCTCTTCAAACTCATAACATTAATTAATTACCACTTACATCATTCGAAAGAGATGGTCTTCTTATAGTAGTAGACTCAACCACACCTTGCAGTATATTTTCTATTTTCAAGGAATTCCACTTTATTTTACCTTCCTTAATATATAGTACTTAATTAATGTTTAATACAATATATATTTTCGTCTTACCTGATAGTTTTGCATTTCAGAAGTTGTCATCAGATTTTTTATTGCAGTTCCATGCCAATCGTTATACTCCCATCCTAACGTAACAGCTAGGATTGTAGACTTGAATTTCTAAAACTAATCATTTCATACTATTCATCCTGTCACAGCCGGCTCATGTAGTCCAGCTTATATAAGACAGTAAATATAGTGGATTTGAAAGTGTTGTTCGTCTTCCTATCTTTTATCGTCAGATATGCTCTTTTGCAGTCATTTCTGGAGGGGGTATCCTTTTCTCAACACAATACAGTCTAATTTTTTGGCGTAGATACAAGCTAAAAAAGTATATGTAATACATAATAAAAACATTTAATATTTGTTAATTCAATCCTATTACTATAAATGAAACTTACGTGAGATTCTCTAGGTCACCTCTTTTGATAGTTTGACATCTTACTAATTTTATCTTCGAATTATTTGATTTGTTATAAGTAGACAAGTTGATTCGACCTTTCGTGACAAAATGATCCCAGAAAGCCCAGGATACTTCTGCCTAAACTCATATAAAATAAAATAATATAACACTTCAACCCCAATGTATGCCTTTTAGAAACACTTACTCTGAAACTGGTGTAATCACCGTTGTGCCCGGAGCTCCTGAACCAAGACATAGGAGAAAAATCATCCTTATTGTCGTACCTAAACTTATAACTTACTGTTCTACAAATTTAAATTCGTTTAAGAATCAATAAGTAGACTTACTTCACTACTTCACACAAAATCTTGATGACTTCCTTCAAAGGCAGTCTTTGCTGGTTCGGCATGAAAATAATCTTTACTTGCTTCAACAGAACAGAATTGTTAACCTGTTCTTGTAAAATATTATTCCTAATGTTCTGGTCCACATTAGGAAAGTCGAAACCAGGTATCTTAAAATCCAATGATACAAAAGTAAAGATACTCAAATAGTAGCAATAGTTATTTACTTCAGAAATTGTTCAACTTACAGTTCCCATGATAGTCGCAGCGTGAGTCTAAAAAAGCAGCAGCATAAACTGAAGGTATTCTTCTTCCCAAAGGTTTTGGCCTAAAATAGACACATAAAAATTTCGTAACAGGACCACCATATAGAACATAGGTTCAGGTCACACATTACATACCGAAAATCGATAAAAATCAGCAAGGGTAATATAAGAAGAATTCATTCTACTAAGAAATACTAAAAAACAACAACATTAATGAGCACCACACATGGATTACACAAAAGATCCTCTCTATATATAAAGCAGAAGTTGTGTGTTTGTGTGTGTGTTTGTATGCTTGCGTGTTCGCCCGAAACGGACGGACCAATAGGAGAATAGGCTCCGCCCACAATGGGCGGGGCCTATGTATAGCTGAGCGGTGTCTGTTGAAACGTTGTCAACAAAACACTTAAAAGCCGTCAACTTTTGGGATGGGGGGTGAGGGCATGTTGAAAGTCACAAACCAAGCCTCGCACACAATAAACGGGGCGTGCACCGAAGTGAGTAGTGCCAACGACAAAAATTCGTAAAATTCCTCCGGAAGATCACAGGGACCCGGGACAAAATCATTCTCTATGCACCACGTTAGACTACACCCACAATGGGCGTGGGGGCATACCCGAAGTGAGCGGGGCGTTTGTTCGGGCGGGGGGGCCTAACGCAAATCTTCAAAATTCAGACCCGGAACTACTCGGGCAGCGGGAAAACGGACTCGAGTAAAAAGTGGGCAGGTAGATAAACAGAAGGAGGCACACCCGAACTGGGCGTTGGAAAGAGCCCGGCAGATTGCAGTCGGCGGGCGTTTGTCTGGGTAGGCGGGGACCAAGTAAAAATTTCGAAGTTCGAACCCGGAACTACCCGAGCAGCGGAAAGGCGGGCGATCCGACTGGCCCTCAGTTTGGATGGCCGGGGACCCACTTCACACGCATAAGGAGGATCGCCCGAAGGCGGGCGATCCGACTGGCCCTCAGTTTGGATGGCCGGGGACCCACTTCACACGCATAAGGAGGATCGCCCGCCGAAGGCGGGCGATCCGACTGGTAAGTTATAATTGTAGAAAAATATATAAAGAACTGTTCACACACCTGAAGTGGTGTATATCTGGTACTCCATAAAACGCCGGAAAAGTGACAAAACCACCATAGACGTTACATGGCCTGAAAAGTTTTTAATTTAGTCAACTAACAGATTTAGATACTTTATTACAAAGGTAGACAAAATATACGAAAAGCCATTGTTTTGTACAGCTCGACTGCGTGCCAATAGCAAGAATCTTGTTGAATAATAACCAATGTGTGACAATATGTTTATAGTATTCGGCAATTGATTACTAAACCTCATGTGTGTTGACATGGAGAGAATGGTATTGACTAAGAGACAATAAAAGGTAAAATTAGCCAGCATCACTGTAATAGCAAAAATTGATCAACAGATTACGAATGATTAGCTTTTTATACTGTGTAGGACAGCATACCTTAGATAGTGCGACTTTTTGAATAACAGCCAGTGCTATTCCCCTTACACGTGATTTAACGAAAAGGACGAAATGGAGCATAGACGCTACTAACAAAAACATATGAGACGTCAACTAACGGAGAGGCTAACTAGGCATGTGGTTACTGTAGCCTAGCGTGTATGTATTGGTGTTATATTATTTTTATATGAGTTTAGGCAGAAGTATCCTGGGCTTTCTGGGATCATTTTGTCACGAAAGGTCGAATCAACTTGTCTACTTATAACAAATCAAATAATTCGAAGATAAAATTAGTAAGATGTCAAACTATCAAAAGAGGTGACCTAGAGAATCTCACGTAAGTTTCATTTATAGTAATAGGATTGTAATTAACAAATATTAAATGTTTTTATTATGTATTACATATACTTTTTTAGCTTGTATCTACGCCAAAAAATTAGACTGTATTGTGTTGAGAAAAGGATACCCCCTCCAGAAATGACTGCAAAAAGAGCATATCTGACGATAAAAGATAGGAAGACGAACAACACTTTTAAATCCACTATATTTACTGTCTTATATAAGCTGGACTACATGAGCCGGCTGTGACAGGATGAATAGTATGAAATGATTAGTTTTAGAAATTCAAGTCTACAATCCTAGCTGTTACGTTAGGATGGGAGTATAACGATTGGCATGGAACTGCAATAAAAAATCTGATGACAACTTCTGAAATGCAAAACTATCAGGTAAGACGAAAATATATATTGTATTAAACATTAATTAAGTACTATATATTAAGGAAGGTAAAATAAAGTGGAATTCCTTGAAAATAGAAAATATACTGCAAGGTGTGGTTGAGTCTACTACTATAAGAAGACCATCTCTTTCGAATGATGTAAGTGGTAATTAATTAATGTTATGAGTTTGAAGAGGCCTTGGAGTAGATAATTGAGTTTTAGGATGGAAAAACAGGTCGGAAGAGGGAAGTTGAAAAGAAAGCAGAGCCGATCAAAAAGAAGCCTCGTACGGAAGCAGACGACTTGGACGTCACAAGTGAAAGTGCTAAGAGATTAAGCGTAGCAGCTGTTGTCATTGTCTTAATAAGCTTTCCGTTGCTTTCATGGTATTTTGATATACCTTGTTTTATCTAACAAAGTATCACCATGTCGATTGTTAAATCAACTGGTTTTATAATGAATGTTTTAATGCATGCTTAAAAAAACAAAAGAATGATGAAAGTCGTCAGTGGACGACAACAAAAGAAAAAACGTCAGTGGACGCCATATGGACCAAAGGTCCAATCACCACGGGTGACATGTTAAAACAGGAAAAGAGAAGAAACGAAAGTTTTCATGTTGGTAATCAACTAGTAATAAGGAATAATAATTAGATACCCGACGAACGGAGCTAGTATAACACTTACTCGGGTTTCCCTCGTAGATAAGTGTTAACTAGCCATTTAGCCAATAAAAGGACAAAAGCGTCAGGATCTTTCAGCAAAACAAGAAAAGAATCGAGATAAACAGTTCGTTTCACCTCTACATCATACGAACTGCTTGTATAAGACAATCCCTGAGGTTCTTCAGTGATTGGGATTGACTTAAGAAGAGGTTTTAACTAATAGTCGATAGTGCAAGGTATAAAAAACATCATGGCGAAACAGACTACTTTTTTAAAACATGGTTAGTAGAGAAGGCATGGACAGCACCGAAACGAAAGGAGCAGGAATTCTGTGTGATACTCAGTTACAGGCGGTACAAAAGGAAAGGTTGGAGCGTATTAACTACAAGACGGATCATATAGTATATGTATAGATGGATTGTTAGAAATACATATATCAATGAAAATCGGAAAAAGGGTAAGTCTAGAATCCAAATGATAAGAGGGTGATCGTATAAATTAATTACTGCTGACTGAATATTAATAATAGCTTGAATAAGCGATAAATTTTCAAAAAATATCTTCTATCAACCGTTTTAGTCTATTAAAACTATGCGTTAAAGAGTATTTATAGCCTATGTATTTCTTTCTATAGAGACATTTGACGATACTAGCACCTATAAACTCTTTATAGTAACCATTTTCAATAAGAGTGTCTATAAGGACAGTTAGTTTTTCTTTGAAATCTGTGAAAGTGGAGCATGTGTTGGCTATCCTAAGAGTTTCTGTGTAAATAACAGAGGCTTTACAGTTAGTTGAAATATTGGTAAGTTCATGTGGAAACCTGATTACTTTGAAATCAAAGTCATCCGTTTTATTGTAGAAGTTTAGTTAGTATACCTTCAGTTGTTACGCTTATCGTCATATCAAGGTAATTCCCACTATGTTCACAACTATTGGTTCTCTTAAATTCCAATTTATTTTCATACACTGTGTTGAGTATTCCTACAATTTTTGCTTCGTTCATATTATGTATAATTAGCAAATCATCCATATATCTATAAGGGACGAACACATTGTCTCTACCGAGTCTACAACTTTTCGCGTACTTGTATTCCATGACTGACAAAGGTAAGGTCCGCAAGAAGAGGGCTGAAATTCCCACCCTGCGGTACTCCTTTGTTTTGCTTGTATATGCTACTACCAAATAGACAGAAGCTATTTCTTAGCAAGTAATCCGTTAAATAAATGAGATCGTTTCTATTGTAGTATCTGAAACCTTTCTGGTATTTTTCACCATCTGTGTAATATACATGAAAACCATTAGTAGCTATTAACGGCTTACTGCAGTTAGTGAAACAAATGTTAAGCAATGAACCAGTAAAGAGCACTATCCCAGATTTTCAACAAAACAACATGCACAACCAAAAAACACGTGAATACTGTCTCGCTGCCGGTGCTTTTCAAGGTGCGCGCCGGGAGACGGGCAAGAGAATTGTAAACAATGGGCGCGACATTTCTTTGATTTGCACTACCCTTTCGATTCAAGCTCAGATTTCATGTAGAGAAGGACATGGAAGATATTTATGTCTATTTTCGGTCATACATTGTTAATTCTCGACCAGTATCATCTAAAATCGTCGTCGTTAGCGGGCGCGACGCCCACTGACGCGGCGAATTACGATTCTCTTGCCACATACCCTGGCACCGCCTACCTGTTTCCGCCAGCTGTGGAAGCTGGCAGCCGGCCACACGTTACGTAGAACAGGTGGCGCTGTCAAACCCAGCTCCCCTTAAACTCCCCAGCGTTCGCGACGGACAAGACCGTACTAAACAACAAGCCTGCAGAGACGAACCCGTGATCCCACGTAAAAACTGCTCTGACTTGAATAGGACACTAGGCCGAGAGGAGCAGAAAATGCTGGTCGATCGAGAGGGCAGAGAGAGGGGAAAAGTGAACAGCTGTCAGCAGACAAACGGTTTCTACATGCTAACTAAGTTGATCTGGATCGCATGATTGTCGATCTTAAAGGCAGTTGGCACGATAATTTCCTACTTAGCCTAAAATGCTAGTAGGGCGCTGTATAGTGGGGAAATGGCGAAAGAACGGAGTGGTCAAAATCCTGCGAAGAAAAAGCCTCCGTTCTCAGTGACTTGTAAATCGATTTCGGACGAGTTTCCCGTAGGCATCTTACCAATCACCGCTACCGAAGATACGGCTGCATATGTGTACCCATGTATGCATGCAGCATCACGGCCGCTTCATACCAATCCCTTCGCTTCATAATTTGCTTAGCAAATGAATGAATACGAGCGTCAGGAACGGTCGTCCATTTGTGGGCGGGCGGGCGGGCGTTTGGGACGTAAAGTTGTGGCTTGATAGGGCCCTTATAAGGGCACCTTCCTCGGGGAAACCGCTATGCAGCGCCTGCCCAGGGTCGCGGAATTCTATCCTGCCAGGAGTATTGATCCTAGTCGCCTTGGGGATTTATCGTGTCCAACTGCCTTTAAACCGAATCTGTCCACGGAGAAACTGGCTTGATTCCGGATGATTGGGGAAGTGAACGGCAAATAACGCCGAACATTTCGAAAAAAAATCCGGCCTACGTTTCGAGGGGGCAAAAAGAGTGAACTTCGCCAAAAATCTTGACAGCAGACCTTAGGCAACAATGCCGATCGATGAAATATCTGAAGGGATGGAGGGGCGGAATTTCCTAAAGCCGAACTGTACTGAAAGTGCAAGTGTGGGGAACAGAAAGAAGTTCACTGCGAGGTTCTTCAAATTGCCTTGATTTCTGGTGGAAAAATGTCATTCATGCTTCTGATAGGATTGTGCAACCTCAGGCATCCCTCAGATTCATCCAATTCATTTACGTGCCTGAGCGCAGTTTGGACTTTTTTGGTGAGCTAACACAATGGGTGTTGATTGAAATCCCTTATCCAGAGGATTATCCGGATAGACGATCGAAGCGACGCTTTTTCGGTATTCAATTTCAATGTGAAACGATAACATAGCCGAAACCTTCGTGTCGTATCGATCTCGGCAAATTCGTTTTGAATAATTGCGGCGGCTGGCTTTTCAGTGAAACACCTCTATGGTTAAATGTGTTTTTGCATTTTTCTGCACTAATTAGTGTGTCGAATCGTATTGGCAAAAGCTGCAGTCGGAAATGGGAAACCTCGCTGGTAATCAGTACCATCAAGTTACATTTCAATGTTTTTGAACCCATCTACATAATCTCGCTCACATGTATGCTCTCATTTTTCCCAGCTAATTTGCCAATTGCCTAATGAACTCTCCGTATTTTTCGTGCCTTATGCCTTTGGCATTCTCCACTATGAGACCCGATTCCCAGGGTAATCGTTTCATGGCGTCAGTCCCAGCGATGATTCCACTTCCTCATGCCAACAAAGCAATCCGATAGTGTGCATGCCTCTGAAACATTTATCTTCCCAATGCTATAGAATTTGGGAGATCTGCCAACCCACATATTTTGTTCATGTGAGCATTGAACATCATAATTAATGATTTTCCGGGTTTCCAGTATAGGAAACATAAGATGAAGATTCTAACAATAAAGTAGCTATAAAAGTGCAATGCTTATTGCTGTAGCATTGACAGCAAAGCATTGTAAATTGAAAAATGATTTCCCCAAGGAGAAGGAAAGGTCATCTTTCTTTGTCACGTTCTTCCCCTTGCAGATGAAAGATATATTAGTTTCTTGGGAAAATTTTAGGAAATCTCGCGCTCCAGCTCTGAAGAGGTGCAGCGAGAATGCCCCAATTCAAAAGCGTGACGAAGAAAGACACCCTGGGATCATTCTTGATCCTTATGAAGAGAGGGGGGGTTTCAGTTCACAATAATTTTCTGTCAATGCTACAGCAATGAGCGTTGTATTTTTACAGCCATTTTATTGTTATAATGCTGAAAGAGGCATGTTTGTGGATCAAGTATGGCGCCCTTATTCATCTCTCATTAATGTAAGTGCTAAATAAACTGATTGAGGGTTCTCAGAAATTTCCGGTCACCGTAATATCTTGAATCAAGCAAGCAATTCTTTCTGTCCACAATCCCTATATTTCTCCTTATTTTGGGGCGTATCTGGTTCCTATTCCTTTGGAAGTGAAGCCACTAACCAGGGTAGTCCCAACTTACCATGGAACTTTGAATGGAGACCTGGGTAGATCGATAGAGTCTATAAGGTTATTTACAAATATAGATAGCAAAACTGCAACCTGCATTTCACAAGCAACTTATGAGCAGGTAAAGTGGTGCAGTAGGGTGGAGGCTTGGTGGTGAGCTGTGAAGCATAAGCGAGGAATCGTATATGTCTAATAGGGTCCTGGTGGTTCAGTGGGAATTACGTAGCGCTTTTCCAATGCAGTTTTGTGCATGTTACACGGCGCATGCAGGAATCATGGACGTGTTGTTCATTTCCTTAGACGTATCTGGGAGAGACGAAAAAGAAGAGAAATGCAGTTACAGGAAGAATCTAAAAAAATAAAAAATATGTAAATGAACATATAATGATATAAATATAGAATGTAATACGGAAAATAAATATGCCACAAAAGTAGAAATATAAAACTAAATGCAGTACGGCATTATCACTTGAGCTGCTCAACTGGTACTGCCGCATCTCAAATTGAGGACCTTTTCCTGACCTTGTATTAAATGTGTGCTCCGCGTTTATGTGGTGTTCAGGCGCCCTATTTGAGCATGTAGTCCTCTCCGCAGCTATAGAGGATTAACTACTTCTACAGCTCAGAA